TATACTCAATGGTAAATGATACTGTAAGAGTATATATTACCAAATGGTATCTCTAATAAAGAAAATAAAATAAAAAGGAAGAACGAAGAAATAAATAATAAAAGTATTACCAAATTGTATCTCTAATAAAGAATAAAATGAAAAGGGATAAAGAAAGAAATAGAAAAATTGTTATCAAATGGTATGTCTATTAAAGGATAATATGAAAAAAATATAAAAATGAGAAAAGAATAAAAGAGAAAATAAAAATAAAGAATAAGAAAAGAACAAAAGTCTGCACAATTTACCAACCGCAAAATCGATTGACACACACAAAAATTAGCACTAAGACTTGAGAAATTATTTTTTTCTATCGTCTTTATCAATGAAAGTGTATCAAATAACAAATAAAAAGTTTTAAACCAATAAATTTTAGAGATCTAGTGTTAGAATATTACCCACTCACGATACTTATAGCTAGAGGCGAACCTAAGAATTGAAAATAGAGGGGGCACCACTGCTTTAAAGGAAAACAAAAAGAAAAAATCAGCCCCTTAGCTGGGCTCGAACTCGCAATGACCGGAATTGAAAATACAGGAAGCACCAATGCTTAAAAAGGAAAAAATAATAAAAAAAAATCAGCCTCTTAGGTGGGCTCAAACTCGCAGTGACACAATAAAACGCCACAGCTTTAACCGGTTCACCCAAATGAGTTATGATGTATAAAGTGCATAGTAAAATTAAAAGTTATTGGGTGCACGTGCACCCTCACGCAACCAGGTGGGTCCGCTTCTGTTTATAACCTGGATTGTATTTTTCAAATGATTCATTTTATAATTATGTAATTTAGGAAATTTGATGAATTATTTTTTTTCTTTTTTACAAAATCGACTAAATTCATTGGTTTTAATTTTTTCCTCGCTAATTAACAAATGAACTCTGTCTATTTCTTATGAAACACTTGTATTATTCTTTTTGTCAGTTGCCACTTGTAATTATATATGAAGAGGAAATGACATAAATGACCCAAGTGTTAAATAGCGACGACTTAAAATTTGTAGTTGTAATTCAACTATTTGCTATGAATTTTTTTTATAGCAAAATATAAAATTTTCTTTGGTTACGATTGTTCATAATTACAAAAAAATTCACAAATGGTCCCTAAACTATTGGAGTAGGTCTAAAATAGTCCCTTAACTATACATTAATCTGATTTAGTCTTTTAACTATTTAAAATCAAGTTTGGTTGCTTAACTATATACTTATCATTTTTAGTCTTTTTTTAAGTATTCAAAATTTTGTCAGGTTTGGTCTCTATCTATTATTTTTTATACATATAACTTAGGTTTATATTAACGAAACTCATGCCTTTAGGAAATTAAATGTTTTAAACCATTTTCAATTGTTTCTCTCTCCCTGATATTTTTTCTTTAAATTACTCTTATAAAAAGAAGTTAAATTCAACAATTCAACCTAAAATTTTCCTTCTTTAGCGGTTAACGATTCATAATCAACTTGAATTTTTTTTAATTCTTTTCAGATAAAATAAATAAAAGATTTGATCTTATTACTCAAATTTCTCTACATAAAATAAAATAAATAGAGTAATAAAATCGATCTATTACAAAAAAAAAATAATTGAAAAAATGGTTATAAATTAACCATTTTAAATTTAAACTTCTAAAATATTAAACAAGTTCCCTTCAATAAAGTCCCTGGAGTACAAAATTTAGAATTAAAATATGTGAGTAAAGAACTTTTAATTTTATTCTGATTACAAAAAAAATCATTTCTATTAAATATAAATAAATCTCTCTCTATACTTAACGGGTAATAACATTTTTATTTTTATAATGAATTTTGATATTTGTAAGTCATTAGCAGCAATAGTATATTTTATTTCATCCTCCATTGAATAAAATCAGGATTTCTATCTTCTTTTCTCGTGAATTTTATTTTGAATCCTTGAGGTTGAGGTTATTTTCTTAAGAATAATTTGAGGAAAAAATAGTGGAAAAAGAGAAACAACTGGAAAAATGGGTTAAACATTTAATTTTTATAAAGACATGAGTTCTGTTAATATAAACCTAAACTATTTGTATAAAAAATAGTCAGAGACCAAACCTGATAAATTTTTGAATACTTAAAGGACTAAAACTAGTAAGTATATAGATAAGGGACTAAAAATGATAAGTATATAGTTAAGCAACCAAACTTGATTTTAAATAGTTAAAAGACTAAATCAGATTAATGTATAGTTAAGGGACTATTTTAGACCTACTCCAATAGTTTAGGGACCATTTGTGAATTTTTTTGTAATTATGAACAATCGTAACCAAAGAAAATTTTATATTTTGCTATAAAAAAAATTCATAGCAAATAGTTGAATTACAACTACAAATTTTAAGTCGTCGCTATTTAACACCTTACATATTTTGTGACAACTTTTTGTTGTCACTAAATCACAGGTTGATTAGAGACAATAAAATGATTGTCACCAATTGTTTATATTATTAGTGACGAAAATAAATGTCACAATTAGATCTAAAATTTTATAGCTAAAACATACAATATTTAACTACAAGTTCTAATTTGTCGCTATTATAACAACATAATTTTTTAGACGAATATTTTTCGTGTCCAAAAAATTATTAATTTTAAGACAAAAAATAATTTGTCACGAATTAGTTACATCATTAGTGACGAAATAATGTGTCACTGGTAACTTTAAATTCGTGACTAGTACTCAATAAATGGCGCCAATTCATTTTTTGGTGGGAAATTTAAGTGGACAAAACTTTGCTACGAATTTTTATGTTTCGTTACTAAAAGTATGTATCTCATATATTTAAGCACAAAAAGTAATTCTTGTCACTAAAAGCGAACAATTAGTGACGATTTCCATATCGTAGCTAATAATTTCGTAGCTATATACCATATTTGTTGTAGTGCTCAGAGATAAAGTTTGCTTCTCCGTTATTTTTCACCTCCTTCAGGGAAGCTTGATACAACTCAACCAGGTGCCTTGGCGTACGACAGGTACATGAACAATGCCCTTTTCTACCACATTGATAACATTTGTTGTCTGAATTTTTCCTTTGCACCACTTCATGCTTTTCATCCTTCTTTTTACACCGATTGTGGTGAAGGTTATTATTTAATGCAATACGATCACCATGATTGAAATTTCTTCCTCGACCACGTCCACGGCCACGACCTTTTCCACGCTTAGATTGGTGAAAATTTGTTGTATTCACTTCAGGAAATGACATAGAACCAATAGGTCGACTTTCATTGTTTTTCATCAGTAAGTCATTATGTTGTTCAGCAACAAGGAGATGTGCAATTAATTCTGAATATTTTTTAATCCCATTTCTCGATATTGCTGCTGCAGGAGCATACTCGAGGCAGGAAAAGTGGAAAATATTTTCTCCAGCATATATGGTCAGTGACATTTTCTCCGCATAATTTTAATTGTAAGATGATTTTAAACATGGAAGAGTTACTCACTGATATATTTAAAATCTTGAAGTCTCAAATGGATCCAGTCATAACATGCATGTGGAAGGACAACCAACTTCAGGTGGTCATATCTATCTTTTAAATTATTCCACAACACCAGAGGATCTTTAATAGTGAGATATTCCATTTTAAAGCTTTCATCAAGGTGATGACAGAGAAATATCATTGCCTTGGCACGGTTTTGATTCGATGCCTGATTTTTTTCTTCTTGGATAGTGTCTATCAGACCCATCACATCAAGATGAATTTACACATCTAGTACCTATGATAGATAGCCTTTTCCCGATATGTCTAAAGCAAGAAATTCAAGTTTAGAAAGATTTGATATTATTTAAGAAAGGAAAATTTATACCTTCGAGGCTTTTAAAGTCTTTACTTGAACTGGCAGAGACTCGTGCTGATAACGTGTTATAAAATAACTAGCTTAACAAACTTATATTAATAAACTAGATTTAAAAGAAGAACAAGAGAGAGCACAATCTATTCCATTCATTTGTGAATGAAAGTAATGGCTATTTATAGCCAACAAGTAATATACAAACTAACACTTGTCCATTAGGAAGTTATCCACTTGGCCAAGTGATGACACATCTCAAATAGGTGGCCCACATGGCATCCATTTAGTATGGCAAGTGATGACAATCAAAGGGGTGACCCCACATGGCATCCATTTAGTTTGTCCTACAATTCAAGTTGGTCCTTATTCTATAGGAAATAATATTGATAATAATGGTTAAGTTCATAATGGCCTGACTTTGATAGTTCATCCCTGACTCATGAGAAAACTCTTGCAAAAAATAATTTTTAATCATTTTAATGAAATTATTTTTGGATAACATTATCTTTCAAACCTAACAAATTAAATGGAACATAATATTATATTATAATTGTGTCTTGATAAATACAAAATGAAACTAAAAAAAAAACTTACTCTTCTTCTCCTTCTCCTTCTTCTTTCTTTCTTTTTAATTTTTTTTTCTCTTCTTTTTTTGAGCTAAAAAAAGTATATATTTTATACATTTTGTACTTCTTTTATATAAAATTTATCCCTAGACTCTCAAAGTGGGTATTCGGTTCAATTTTATATCAATCTTTAATTTGGTTTTTCAGTTTTTGGTTTTGAAAATGTGTGCACCGAATATTGAACTGAATTAATTTGGTTCAGTTCGATTTAGATCCGTATTTTTTTTAGAACAAAAATGAAATAAGGGCAAAATTAAAGTATAAGACACTTAAAATTTTAAAACTATGTTAAGTGATGATGTTTCTCACCATGGAACTATTTTGCTGAAAACACAATATTTGATTGTGTTAAGAAAATTGTGACTTCAACTACTGCTCGAGGAAAACACGGATGAAGACAGTTTTCTTTACATGACGTATATGGGGGAAAATACATTTGGGTTTTTCTTAGGAATTAATATTTGAAGTTAACTATCTGAATGGTAAATTTGATGCTACTTTGATTTATTCATGAATGGTTTGATTATTAGTTTACTTTTATTTTTGTTAAGAAAATTCCTTTCTCTCTCTCTCTCTCTCTATATATATATATATATACTATTTTTATATTAATAAAAAAGTCTGAAATATATCTGAACTTTGATCGAAATAGTTGTAACAATCTCAAACTTTGGGCAGGACCTATTACCCATTACACTATTTAATAGTGTATTTTAAGGATATATAAGTGCTCATCTCGACAAGTTAATATTTATAATGATGCAATATTTATGATGTCCACGTGGGCACATATATATCTTTAAAATGCACTATTAAATAGTGCAAGAGGGTAATAGGTCCGGCCCAAATTTTGGGATTGTTACAACAATTTTAGTCAAAGTTCGGATATATTTTGAACCCTTTATTTTTATATTATTTTTATTTTTTAAGAAATTATAAAAAATTATTGTTTGGTGCATCGAAGTTCCGAGACCCTTACACTGAACCAAAGAATCAAACTTTTGAGAAACAAAAACACCGAAATCATACCAGAGAACTAAATTACTTTGGTTCGGTTCAATTTTTTTATTTTCTAATATTTATGTCACCCCTACTAGATTCAAGTGTCAAGGTTCAAGACATTTTTTTATGACCATGGTGTCCGGTCCAGCTTTCGCGTACCTCAACTAATTCCACGAGATACCTACCGCCTCCCACCAACAATAGGTACCAGGTAACTATATCGTGTATTGTTCTATGTTACTATTTGATGGTGAATTACTTATATGTATGAATTGTACTAACCGCGGGATCCTATCAGTACATTGTGGTTTGTGTATTGATATTGTACTTGTTCCTTTCTTGTTGAGTCCAAAGAATCTTCTAGTGGCTGATTCGAGACCTCAACTGAGAGATACCTGATTTCAAGTCCAAGGGTGAGCTTCGTCTTTCAGGATTTCATGGATCTTTCGGAGTTTCTTTTCCATTTGTTCGGACAAAGACTATAGACTTATTTTATATTAAATTTTTTGGGTTGTATCCCAGTTTGATTATTTCTAGAATTTTGGTATGGTGACTTGTAGGTTATAGGGTTATTTTCGCAGGTAGATTTTATGTTCTGGCCATTGGGTTGAGTTTAAAGGGACTCAACTCTCCATCCCTCTAAACTATTTCCTTTATATAATGAACTTGTGTTATTTTGATATTATTGGATTCAATGGGGTTAGTCTTTGGTTCTCCCACCAGGTTGGTTTAGTAAGGATACCACTCACAATGGCCTGGGTTATAACAAACTTGGTATTAGAGCCCTAGGTTCATTGATCTCGTCATATCAAAATGGGTCTAGTAGAGTCCTACGAAACAATATATAGATGTCCGTACTTTTATGCATGATGCTACAAGACTTTCAGAAATTCTCTTTATTCCTTTCTTCGTGCTATTCCTTAATTCCAATTGGTATCGGACAATCCAATTGGTATCTAATCTCTTTCACTCTTTTGTCCGTAAATGGTTAATACTAAACTCAAAGACACAAGGAGTGGCTCCAAGAGTAGAGCCAATGACTAAGCCTACAACAAGAGGGCATGGCAAGGACATAGAAAGGGCAACACCTGCCAGAGGTAGAGCTCAGAATGTGGAGGCACCAAGGGAAGTGACCCCACCCCCACCCCCACCCCTAGACCCGATTATTAAGAAGGAGGTTGAGATTGAGCCTGAGGTAAGGACACAAATGATGAGTCGGGGATTTCGACTCATTTAGGGATTAATATTCAAAGTTTTAGTGTCCTCAATGCCTATCTTATGCTTTAAACTGATGTTAAAATGCCAATTTGCAGCAAGGAAGGCAAAAGAGCAAGGCAAGGACATTACCGGGCAAAAAGGAGCGAAAAAGGTGAAAAAGTTGGGGAAAATCAAGGCTGGTACTCGCCGAAGCCACTTGGTGAGTCGCCGAGTAGATCTTCAGCTCACCTAAAGTTCCAGCAGGCCAGCCCATAGACATGACCAACTTGGCGATTGGATGGGTATTTCGGTGACTCACCAAAATGGTCGGCAATGCCAATTTAGCCCGCAAAAAAGTTACATAGTAGTTGGTGAAAAGGCAAGTTGAATAGGCGAATGATAGATATGATCTTAGGCACAAGTTTTGGAGAGTGAACCAAATTGCTATTATACCCTTTTGTGACCACCTTGTGAGAGTGTGAAACCAACTTGGCACCATTTGAGCCTAACCTTTTATTTAGATGACATATGAATGCATTTGACCTCTTTTCCCATCACCTAAAACCTTCATGAAGCATTGGTCCATTTGAATAGCCAACTTAAGTCAAAACCTAAGTTGGGGGTGTTGTGAAAAAATGAGGAAAGTCAAAAAGTTTGTGAAAAATCTACCCTTGATGGATTGTGTTGAAAAAGATGGAACCCCTCCATATGTATCTTCATACCTGCCTCTTTTGTGAATATTGGTTTTGATAGCTTGTTCTAAATGCTTATTCTCTTATTGTGACCGGTGGGTTTTGACTTTTAATGTGAATGTTGGTTTTTGATCCAAATTAAAATTTCACCTCTTGATGTTTGTGAATGTGGATGTTCTTTTGCATATTTGAGCATCGATTGCGATAAATATCGATGACTTGAATAGTGCTCTTGATTGAACGATATGTTTGTGCAATTTCAATGAGGCAAATTTGAGTTGCATAAGTCATGTGTGAACTCTTAGCATCTCATTGTGATTGGCCGATTGTTGAAATGTATCTTGTGATGATCATTGCACGCGAGCTAAATTTGTAGAATCTTGATTGATGATTGTGTTGGATGCCGTGTTTGGTGAGATTTTCTTGAAATATGTTCTTGGTAATACCTAGAACTTGCCTCGCTGGTCCAATCGACTAATGTAGGTGAATGATATAGATGGTCTTAAGCACCAGTTTTGGAGAGTGAACCAAATTGCTATTATACCTCTTTGTGACCACCTTGTGAGAGTGTGAACCTTGCTTGGCACCATTTGAGCCTAACCTTTTCTTTGAATGACACATGAATGTAGTTGACTTCTTTCCCATCACCTAAAACCTTCATGAAACATTGGGGGTGTGGTGAGAAATGAGGAAAGTCAAGAAGTTTATGAAAAATCTACCCTTGATGGATTATGTTGAAAAAGATGGAGCCCTTATATATATATAAAGATTGAAAAAGAATTTTGCAATGAATCTTGTGTAATGGATAAAAGAAAAGGGGTGTCCAATGAATCATGCTTAAAAGAACTTAGGGTGGATTGTGAAAATCCAAAAGAGTGAAAGAAAAGGAGAAAAAGTGAAATGTAAGCCATGCTTCATGAAGGTAGAAGTCACTAAGCCAAAATGATCATACCTTTACCCTCAACCCCGTTATAAGCCTTGAAAGATCTTAGTGATCTTGATTGAGCTTGATGTCATGTTGATTGGAAAATACGGGCAAGCCTATGGGTAGAATCATGCATGTATTTATCTTTGAGAGT